CATTACTATATACTGGCTATTTAGCACATACATACATACATACATACATACATACATACATACATACATACATACACACACACACACACACACACACACACACACACACACACACACCAGTGAGCAAACTGACAGAACATTAGTTCTGCTCCTCAATAGGTATCACAAAGGACATTTTCCAAATTGTATGTCTAAATCCAAGCAATCGTGGCAAAGACATCTAACATTAGCATATTCTCCTGCCAAAGTTAGATGTATCTATTAGCAGGGAACGAAACTCTTAACTATTTACCGCCCCATTATTCCCTTTCCCTACAGACATATGCAAACTGTTTACCATATTAGTAAACTGATTTATGAGTTCTGCTGAAAGGTATTTTAATTATAGCTTTTCGTTCGCTTTGGAACTGGAGACCTTAGGGGGAAAAGGGCTTTGAAGTTTGAAAGGAAGTTGCTGATATTGAGAGCAGAGGAAGGCCCCTCTCTAGCTACCTGCTGAGAGATGTTTTACACCTACAGAGAAAACTAAAGCTAGACTGCTGACTAGTCATAGCTACTAGCCATTTAAAAAGAGGGGGGTGAATCTATTCCTGTGCAGAAGTTGAATCTCAAAAGTCAGACTGAAAAGGTTGTAATATTCTTCTGGACATCACACAAAATAACTTTGCAGTATTATAAGTACATATTGTAACTGGAGGGGGAAGATCTGAATTAGATTGGGAAAATGTGACTACTCTTCTCCCACTGATATATAAAATCCTTCTTCCTATTTCAAATGACTTGGGAGATCCAGTCAAAATTCCCCCATGTCATATATAAACTATGATAAAATGCATTCGATCCTAAAATACATTTATAATAAGAAAACAACTGGTGGTCCTTGACTTACAACCACAATTGAGTCCCAAATTTCTGTTGCTCAGTGACACAGGTCTTAGGTGAGGGTGCCTCATTTGATGTTAGTGATCATTGCAATTGTTAAGTTAGTAACACAGTTGTTAAGTGAACCTGGATTCCCCATTGACTTTGCTTGACGGAAAGTCACAAAAAAGTGATTACATGACCCTGGACATTGCAACTGTCATAAATATGA